GTAACAGTCCGCAAGAAGACTTGTTACCCTTCCCGGACACATTATTTTGATTCAAGCCGACCATTTTTTGCTCTTACTCCTAAATGCCGTATGCCTAGCAGAAGAGCAGCAAATACTCATTTTTAAGTCTTTGAATTTACATCAATTAAAAAAAGAGAAAACGAAAAACGATCCTTTCTTATTGCTTAAACATTAATGATGACACACACAATTCGAAAAAAGGAAAGTCTAAACTATGTCTAAAAGTTGTACTTTAAGTATATGCTCTTCAAGTCATCCTAACCTTACGGCTACCAACTTATACTTTCCAAAAATTTTTTTTTTACATCATACAAGGCACAAGTCCTATGTATACATTGTACGTATCATATTGATATATGTAAAAGCGACATTTGATTATCGTCCGGTTGGTAGTTGAGAGGTTTTGTCGATAAGTTTCTTTAACAGTGAAACATAATGTACTCCAAGGAGGGCATTTAAACCACTATCGCGGTAAATAAAACGTTGCTAGATTTAAAGGTAAGTTTTTAAAATAATTGCACTTGTGCACAAAATTTAAACTGAACAAAGGGAACAACTGAATATAATTTGATGACTTAATTTCAGTGACAGATTTAAGAAGAGTTCATTCTAGAAAAAAAAACCACGCTTAATAGATAGGTTGACGTATAAGGAGTGGTTTAATTATGTTTTAACAACATTTTGGTGTGTTTATAAACATATGACCATGTTATGAAGGCGGAAAAATGACTCAAAACTGTTATTTTTATATATTTGATATCATCCGCACACAAAAAAACGAGATCATTCCGTACCAACTCATCTATTCTATAGAAGGAAAACTATGCATTGTCTTTCAGATACAACTCGTTTTTTCTTCAGGGTGACATGAGCAGCATTTTATTTAAAACCCATATAAAATTGGCACTCTTGTTTTTAAATTGCCTTTAACAGCTATGTGTAAGGCTAAGTATTTTTCTTTTTCATTCTATAAAAAAACGTCAAATTATATTTTCCCTAATTTTTTGTTTGTTACTTTGATTTGTCTTCTTAATGGAAGTATGAGAATTTAACATCAGTAAGGTACTGCCTTCATGTACGTATAGTATATACACTCTATAATTCAAATACCTGTAGGTTTCAAGAATCTTCCTATGTTGACCTTTTGTAGGGGAAATTTGCCTTTTTAAATAGAATTCATTGCAAAATTTGACAGACGTTATGCAAGATAATATCCATTGGAAAATTAAGTAAAAGTTACTTTCCATTCTGATTTCATTATTGGGTGCACTGAAATTATCTTTTTTGAATCGACAAACCTATTGGTCAACAAAAAAATATTTTACTCTTTTCCGTGCATTTGTGGTAGACAAAAAAAAAAATTTATATCAGTTAACTGGTTTAAAGTGTTATCAATATTCATGATTTACAAGAAAACTTGCTCAATTTACTACCCAACTGTTCGAGACATAGTTGGGGTATGCGTTAATGAGACAGCAATTCGACCACACCAACGTATAGAGGATAACTTACAATCAACATCATGGTTTAATAATAAATATGTCTAAATACATGACACCTTTACGACACGACAGACGAATCTACGACACCACAAATTACATATACTTACGTAATGTCCATGTCACAGAAGGACAACTATTTGCTACAGGAAGACTGCTGATCTTATATTGTCGGGCTAAACTATTATGAAATGTATAGTTTTATTAATCTGCTGTGGCTACCACATTTGAATGAAAAAGTCACCATATGCTATTCATTAAGGTCCAGGCACAGGCTATGTGTACATTTCCCATGTTTTAATGTGATTTCAATTGGATAGAAACGATATTTTTGTAAAGTGTTTTATTTTTTTGTTTAAAATTTGCAATGTAGAATTAGGATGACCGTTGTTTTTTTCTTCAGAATAGCAATTTCTAAACTATATTTTAACTTTCGCACAAAGAAAGACATGTACATTTAATTTAACCATGCAGTTATTTCAGTGAAAATAAAAATCACAATGAAAAAACTTATAAAATTAATATTCCAATGACATTTCCTATTGACAGCTGTTCCTTTCATTTTGATTATATAAGAATTATCAAATAAACATTCACTTATTTAGCAACATATTTCAGGTATAAATGAATATATTGAAAAAGACTAAAGAATTGCTTAACTGGTTTTGTGTACTTGTTTGTCAAGATGACAGCCCGTATTGGACTACTTGTGTTTTGTTTCTGTGTGATACTTATATTCTTAAATTTCATACACTTTACGATTAAACTGTTTACATCAAATTATAAAAACCAGGAATACTTATTGATATCAGATATGTTTCTTTATTTCAAAAATCACAAAATAAAACAATGAGAGGTGAGAGATTGTTTTTGACTCACCGTGACTTTGTGATAAAGAACAGCAATGAAAGCGCTGTTACTATGCTTTTTGTGTGATTATGTTGTGCATATACTGATTTTGCATCATGGATGGATACCCGATATTCTTTGTTTTTCTATAATAATGATACGTGTCAAACATAGTTTTTTGTTGAACGCAAATATAGAGATTTATGTTGCACTTTTATCCTTTAGAAAAAAAATCGGTATCTTTAAAAAATGCTTGGCTTAATCTCACTGAAATTCTGTTCATGGGAAGTGGCACTATATGTCGCTGTTCTTTCTTTAGAGTTCTACGGCAACAACAAATTGTGCTTGTTTATCAATGCTACATTGTACTATACACAAAAAAAAATGCAAAAAGAAAACTAATTAAGAAAACCGTTGAATTCCTTATTACAAGAAAAATGCATTTCTTATTACATATGCATTTTATCAGTTTTATAGGTCAGAAGAAAACTCATCGCCAACATATACTGTGAAAGTACTATTCTCTTATGGTTGCGGCCTGTTATCTATTTATTTCATGAAGAGTGTGATACGAAAAAGTGAAATGAAAATCTGCCTTAATTTGATTGGCTTAAACCAGCATCATGAGACGATATTACGACATTTCCATTGACTATTCGTTAGATCAATGATGACTTTCAAAGGTTAAGACAATGTACATTTCATCGCGGCAACGGACATATTTGATTTCTTCAATAATATACAAAACTCTCACACTTTTCACCTGAAAATCTTCTTTTTGTCATATTCTTTAATTTTATATTCTGAAGCGTACAAAAAGTTTTAAAATGTCCGACGTTGAAGTTTGACACCGGAGCAAGACATATGACGTCATACTTGTATGTGCAAAAGACTAGATCAACTTTTCGCTGAATGTTTAATTTAACACAACGAGAGTGTTGATCAAAAGAGAAATAGGTTTAACAACTTGTGAGGATTAGATATCGCTTGATATCAACTCTTGTAATTTAATTTAAATAATAATAATATACTCGCCGAAGCCTCTTTCATTATTATATTGAAATTAAATAACTCGAGTTGATATCAAGCGATATCCAATTCTCACTCGTTAGGAAACCTATAATTATTCGTGGGATACCAATTTTCGTGGATTTTGTGGATGGCTTTATCCGCGAACTTAATTTTTCGAAATATAACAACTGTTGTCCAATTCCAGACATGCAAAGATCCCCATGTAGGTTTGACTACATGGATACGGGCATATAATCTAGAGAATACATCGAATATCAGCCAACGCATTATATACTAAATATACAACTTCAGACCGGGTTTTATCCATCTAATCTTTAAAAAAACTAAACTGTAAAACTTTTAACCTTTTGATTCCCATGACAATAAAGTTTGATCGATGAAAGTCAGATTTCCGGTGATGATATGCTATGATGAATTGTACATTTTATTTTTTCATAATTTTCATACGAAAAAAAAAAATTAACTGACGTTTGGGCTTGCTTTTCATTTCATAAGAATTAATTCTACAACTTAAAGTACATTTTGTAACATTTTCTTAGGTAATCGTTTTCGTTACGTGACATGTTCATGGCCCAATTAACACCTTTAATGATCGTTAATCTGTTTACCATTCGATCTCTAGTTAATAAGTGTCATCACTTGTGATTACACGTGTGCAACAACTAAAATGTTTACTTTGCAATTTCCCTCAATCGAGACAATTTGTAAGCAAAGATGAATCAGCTTATTTTGGCAAACAATTATTCTATCAAAATTATTATGAATGGTGCTAGTAATGAAAGACGAACAAGTAAGTGAAAATGAACACCTTATTTTGCAATGTCCCACAAATCATTATAAAACAAACATACATATATATATTCCCAAATACCGTTTCGATTCCTAACATCACTGAAGAGACATAAATTGTCGAAATCCGGATATGATGTACAAAAACCTTTGCATCTTTTGTTTGCGGTATACCATCTTTTCCGCAAGTTTATTGTTTTCTGTTTAGTATTAAATTTATAATTAAGATCCATTTATTACATCGGTGATCCGTTTATTTGGCAATCGCCAATGGCATTCAGCAGGGTTTAAGAACATTTGTTGTTCGACCTGTTAGTCAAATGCGTTTTGTAAAAATATACTTTTTCACTTTTTTGGTCTTTTAGAAAATGTTGTTTGTGCTGTATTTAGACTCCTCTAACAAGAAATTTGTTTTGCATGCACACGTATAAAAATTGCGGTTTTTATCCAACGCAATCATAGGTTTGGACGTTGTTTTCAATTTAGACTTGTTTATATATATATATATGATTGATTTCAAAGAATATTCGTTTCTGAAGCATTAAAATTCTTGACTAGATTTTTTTTCTTCAGAAAACTTAAATCCACGAATTAAAAACCCACGAACATGTAACTTTTGCTCAAACCATAAAAATTGATACCCACGAATAAAAGTACTTTCACAGTAATATATGTTCGCAGTCCAACCACCATTTTGAGATTCTGGATTAATGATAATAACATTTAAATATTAAAATATACGATATAAATTAAAAAAAAAAAATATACTATCTTGCATTCAAGAAAAACGCATTACAGTTAAAAACTCACTTTTTCCTATTACTTCGAGAAGGGTAATTGTCACACATAAACAAAACACAAGTAGTCCAATACGGGCTTCCATCTTGACAAACAAGTATACAAACCAGTTATGCAATTCTTTTTCAATATATTCATACATACCTGAAATATGTTGCTAACTCTGGATGCAAATGTTTATTTGTTAATTCTTATATAATCAAAATGAAAGGAACAGCTGTCAATAGGAATGTTAGAATATCAATTTTATAAGTTTCTTCATTGTAAATTTTATTTTCACTGAAATAACTGTATGGTTAAATCAAATGTACATGTCTTTTTTTGTGCGATTATGTAAAAATAATATTATGTGTCATGTATGATGATTAGAAACTGCTTGAATGTCTGAAAAAACCCACGTACGCCATCAATCAACACTGCAATTTTGTTTCAATTTATAAAATTCACATTAAAACTTTGGAAATGTAAATATCGCCTGTACCTGGACCTTAATGATGAGCATATGATGACTTGTTCATTTAAATATGGTAGCCACAGTAGATTAGTTTTTTAGAAGTTTTGCGTAATATACGAAGTTACACGAAGTATATGTAATTTGTATTGACATACATTTTTCCGTCGTAAAGGTGTCATATATTAGGAATTATATAGTGTTATTAACTGGCTGTTTATATATTTAATTGAAGAATTAAAATCAATTAATAAAAGTGTTATGAACTGTCTGTTTCTGTATTGGCCCTGTTATAGATTCTCGATCAGCTGTGTTGGCCCTCGACTCTTCGAGTCTCGGGTCCAATACAGCTAACCTCGAATCTACAACAGGGCCAATACAGAAACAGACAGTTCATAACACTTTTATTAAATGATTTTAATTCTTCAGTTAAACTAAGCAACTTACCTTAAAGAAGAAGAAGATACAGAAATTCATATCTGAAAATGTCTTTCCGCATTCACGATAAAATTTTTGGTCAACATTGGCAGATGTAATTTCGGATTTCTTGTATAAGTACTTATTCTTATGCTATTACAATTCATTTTATCTAGCAAATATAAAGTAGGTGGGAAGAATAAATCAGACAGTTTAACTATTCTTGCTCTAGAATCGTCTGCGTTCTGATGATTGATCAACGGAAATGAAACAGTAAAAATAATCGGAAGTGGTACTCGAAAAGGCTGAGAAATATTTCCGTTTCAAGACGTTTACAAAACACTGAACATCATTTTAACTTTTTTATGATATAAAGTTCAAATATATGAATACAAATGTATTTCATGCATAACAATACGTCCAAAGTTAACTGTTAAGTAAGCTTATGGGCAAGAAAATTGAAACCGGAAGTGAACGTCCCGTATAAGCCCACGGCTTTTTCCGTATTGGCCATGTCCGAAAACCAATATTAACTCCGGATTTGTATCGACAGGATAACGTCACCAGTATTGCACATGCTGATTTATCCGTATCAGGGTTGATTTACTCATATCATTTAATAATATGTGTTATGAAAACTTGATGTTGATTGTATGTTACCCTCTCTTTAATTTTGTTAGTTGTGTCGTTGACCTGCTGACTCATTGACATATACCCCAAATATCTTTTTTATTCAGATCTCTAGAACAGTTGTGTAGCGTTTTTCTTGTAAATTATAAATATTTATAACACTTTAAACCACTTACCTGATGTAAAAATTTAGGTAAAATCTACAACAAACAAGGGAAAAGAGTAAAATGTTTGTTTGGTTGGCCATTAGGTTTGTCGTATTTAAAAAGATAATTTCAGTGCACCTAAAAATTAAGTCGGAATGGAAAATGTTTTTTATTTGATTTTCGATTGGATATTATATAACTTAACGTCTGTTTTTTTGTGAATTCTATTTGAACAGGTAAGGCCACTTTCTTCTGCAAAGGCTAAAATCAGAAGATTCTTGATACCTATTGGTATTTGAATTATTTTACGGACATGAACAGTAATTTACCGATGTTTTAAAATCTCATAAATCGATTAAGAAGACAAATCAAAGAAACAAACAAAAACTGAGGGAAGGAGATTTTCCTAGAATTTTACGTATTTCCACAAAAAAATTAGACAAATACACATTGTTGTCAAAATTATATCAAGGGTGGCAATTTCAAATGTTTTGTAAAAAAATGCTGCAACTGTAACCTGAAAAAAAAGAGTTAATTTGTATTTGAAAGATTATAAAATTGAGAATGGAAAAGGGGAATGTGTCAAAGAGACAACAACCAGACCAAAGAGCAGAAAAACAGCCGAAGGCCACCAATGGGTCTTCAACACAGCGAGAAAATCCCGCACCCGGAGGCGGGCTTCAGCTGGTCCCTAAACAAAACTGTGTACAGGTTTAGTGAAAATGAACATCATACTAAACTCCAAAACATATAATTGAACTAAAATTAAAATTCATACAAGATGCATAGTTATCCTTCGATAGAAAATATGAGTTGGTAAAGAATGTCCTCGTTATTTTTTTTATGTGGATAATACTCAAACAATCAAACGTATCAATATAACAGTTCTGGGCAATTTTTCGGTGATAAACTCAACAACATGTTTTTTAAACATAATTAAACCACTGCTTGGACGCAAACCTTTCCATTAAGCGTTGTTTCTTTTTCTAGAATCAAAGGGTCTTTAGCCTGGCACTTACTCATAAATGAAGCTATTAAATAATATTCAATTATTCCCTTTGTTAAGTTTGAATTGGCTTGTTTTTTCTGATTTCTGTTCAAGTGGATTGACGTTAAAAACTTATCTTTGACTTTAGCAACCTTTGATTTACAGTGATTGGGATTTGAATGCGCTTTTTGAAGTAAATAAAATATGTTTTACTGTTACATATCAACAAAACCTCTCGGCTACCAATTGGATGATATGCAATGGTCGATTTTACGGTACAATGTATACATAGGACGTTCGCCTTAATACATAGAGAATGCACCTCAGTGTGAAAGCAGGCAAAACGACGAGTATATAATGTAAGTTGGTAGCCGCAAAGTTAGAATGAGTTGAAGAGGTAACACTTAGAGTAACACTTGTAGAATTGTAGACATAGTTTGAATCTCTTCTTTTCCTTTTTTCAAATTTTTGTATGTCATCATTGGTATTTTAGATATAAGAAAGAATTGTTTTTGTTTACTATCGACCATGTCATGTCATCCATAAGAAATTTTGATGTTTTAGGCATTTTCATCTGTTTCACTGCATATTTTGACATAAACGTTAAATACAAAAAAAAAAGTAAATTAAAAAAAAATACAGAACTTCAAGGGAAATTCAAAACGGAAAGTCCTTTATAAAATGGTAAAATCAAAAGCTCAAACACATCTAACGAATGGAAAACAACTGTCATGTTCCTGACTTGGTACAGGTTTTTCCTCATGTAGAAAATGTTGGATAAAACCTGGTTTTATAGCTAGCTAAAAAGTAAAATCACAAAAATACTGAACTCCGAGGAAAATAAAATCGAAAAGTCCCTAATCACATGGCAAAATCAAATGACAAAACACATCAAACGAATGGACAACAACTGTCATATTCCTGACTTGGTACAGGCATTTTCAAATGTAGAAAATGGTGGATTGAACCTGGTTTTATAGCGCCAAACCTCTCACTTGTACGACAGTCTCATCAAATTCCGTTATATTTACAACGATGCGTGAACAAAACAGACATTATGAATAAAATAGTCAAAATATGGGTACAGCAGTCATCACTGTGTTACAATATCAAAACAAACAATTCTTTACAAAAAAGCACAAAAGCATCTATCAAATTAAAAACCACATTCATTGCTTCGCGTGTCTGACGTCAGAAAATGTAAACGTCACATTAGAAGAAATTTTGTCATTCAATGTTTATTCAAAACAATTTTATAATTTCACATGGGGAATGTTGGTATACAAGGTTAAAAAATCAAAAGTTATGTTAGAATTAATTTCAGAAATTGACCGAGATTTAAAATTGTCCAGAAGTTCTTTAGAATTTTTAAGAATCCACATATGATTAGTACCACTACGTGAGTAAAATAAATTTGTCGTTTGTCGTTCAAAGTATTTTCAAATTTATAATGACATATAATTGAACAATAACATAATGACGGGATCTTTTAAAGTACAGAGTCACGTTATAAGAACCACAGAAACACAAAAAGTCGCATATACAAAACACACCAGCAAAAATGAAAGATAATACAAACACATTGACGGGATGTATAAGTACCTAGCCACGTCAAATGGATATCACAGAAAACAAACCAAACAGTAAAAGTAATATTAATAATAGAACAAAGACAAATGAAAGAACAATATAACACGTTGTTAAGATGATAAACAACGTCAGTATGCAGAATCTATACTTCAAGACCATCATGTATTATTTGTGAAGTTGATACGGAATATTTATCAACAAGGTCTTGGTACCTTCCGATGAACTTTTTTAGAAAAAGGACGAGACGTTCTTTGACATACCCCTGGTTCATCAACTTTCTGCTCAGACACTGGTGACGTTTTACAAGGTCTGAGTAGGAGCTGCAAGCTCTTGAATATCGAATAAGTTGGGAAATGTATATCTCATATGCAGGTGAAGTTGGTATATTGCTACTAAGGTGGGGGAAATTTATGATTTTAAAATTAAAATCGTCTCGTTTGTCATAGATCCTGGTACTGAGATGACTGTGTATGTCAAATTCGAGATATAAGTCTAAAAATGAGGCGGAGGAAGCCGTGTCTGTTGTTTCTTTAATTTCTAGTTCTAGGGGAAATATTAATGGAACCCAATCAGAAAAGTTCGGATTGCTAATGGAAAGAACATCATCAATATATCTAAAAGTGAAATTAAATAATCTGGCTTCTTTGATCTTCTTGTGTTTGACAAGTGTCTGAAGGAACTCCGATTCATATGAAAATAAGAAGAGGTCGGCAAGGAGAGGCGCACAGTTCGTTCCCATAGGAATGCCGACAATTTGTTGAAAAAGTCCACCTTCAAATTCAACAAATATGTTGTCGATAAGAAACTCCAGCATACTGATCACTTGTTCTTCTGTGTAGCATGTTTTACCCTTTTGTTCACTATTAACAAAATATGCCTTATGATATCCCAAAGTAATAAATTTATAGCGTATGCTACCATTTTTA